ATAATTTAGAGTACCCATAAGCCTCAACATAAGCAAGTAAACGGAATGAACATTACAAACCCACCAATTGTTAGTGTCTACTACGGCCACGAGTTACTGATAATTAACAACTGAATAACTCCACTAGCGCTATATGAGACGCATTCTTGGCATATCATTGCGAGACTTTGCCCCCCGACGATTGTGTACACAGAAAATCGGGAATGCCAGCAGTGTGCTCTCTACTGATATAACGATTTCTGCATTGGTTGGGAAATGTCCCTCGCAGGGTGGTCGGTCGCATTCCGAAGCATCTCGGATGCTGGTGAACTGGAAACACGAATAAGATCAATAGGAAGGTCAAAGCAACGCACATCGAACGCCGCCGCCAACACTCACTCGTCGCAATAGTCAGCCGTGTGTGTATCGCAGCTCAATAACCCGACTGTCCTTCTAAGGATTTCAGGCCCTTTGAGTTTGGGATATTCTATTACTGCGACTCACCACGTAGTCACCTGAAGCATAACAGCGAGGTGAGAGGCCTAATAGCAAAAGGAGTTTTGTTCTTCGCCACCACCATGTCTCGAGGAAGCAGACCTAGCGGAAAGTGCCGGTCAGAAGAGGAAACATACTAGCCGCTCCACCCGATCTGCCTCAGTCTCCAAAGAGATGGAAGCAGCTGCCGCAAAATCAAAGAAGGATGACGACCTGCTGACTGTTGAGAGCCTAAGTGACGTTCCAGCGCCACCCGAACCAGCACGAACGACACTAGTAACGTCACCAGAGAGGCAGAAGACCGTCAACCGCGAATATCCTGCCTCCATATTTCTCTGACAGACCGGCTTGGGCCAAGTAGCAGTTACCACACCCGCAACGTTGACGTTGATTAACATGCTGGAAATCCTGCTGGGCAAAAGTGCGATCGAGAGATTCAGGGGAACTCGAGAGGGAGTGATAGCTACTCTCAATAGAACCAACCATTCATCAGGAATGCTGGATGACAGCAAGAAAGAACTCAGACTATCCGATGAGATGACCGTGACTGCCACAATATTTCAGAATGTCAGACGATGGGTGATACCATACAATACAAAGCATCATGAGCAACGTAGAAATACTGGAACAACTCAGGAAAGACAACCCGAATATCAAAATGAACAAAGCGGAGAGACTCGGCTCAAAAATCTATTCGAAACCAGTCGCAGTGATAACATCAGAGGGTGAAGATATCCTGGACCAAGTCTATCTAAACCAGAGAATGCAGAGACCAGAACAGTAGGTGCCATTGGTGCTCCAGTGCTCCTGTTGCCAAAAAGTCTGGCACTCTCGCTCCACTTGTGAGAGCGAGCACGAAATGAGCAAGTATTGTTCGGAGCCACACGCCTTCAATGACTGCCCCCTGGCAAAGCTGGACAAAGACTTCAGCTCACCAAACCTTAGCAGAAAGTGCGCAAACTGCTTCGACCAGCACAGTGCCAGGTACCTAGGATGCCCCCATCTCCAGCAGTGCCAAGACATGACAGCCACGGCCATCCGGGGGAACATCCCATATCACGAGGCCCGCAGGAGACATGAGACACCCAAAGGGGTAACGAAAGCAATCACCACCAAATTGGACAAGGAGATAGCTCGCCTCAAAAGTAAGATCCAGGCTCTCAGGGACGAGAAAGCAGCCTCCAGATCCCAACGAGATGAAGAAAGGGATGAAATTACGTCTGAGAAGCATCATACAGGCGACGCTCGAAACCCAGAATCGGATGGAAACAGACATGGCAAAATTCAAGGAAGACATCATTGCTGTGCTCGCTGTTATCCAGACACAGACTACCCAAGCAAAGAAAAAGGAGATCAGTCTCACAGATCTGCGAGGGAGCCAGCAACCGCTCGCGACCGAAGTCACAACGATTTAGAAAGCCCTTGCCAAAGTTGCAGAAAGCAAACAAAGAAAACGCCCGACTGAGCAAGAAGCTACAAGCAACTAACAGCTGGAGGATCTGGACTGCTTCCACCTTAACTTGCCAGAAGACGACGTACCATGGTCACCACCTGAAGAACCGATCCGAACGCCAACAATTGACGCTTATACGTTATACGTCACTTAGGGCTCGCAGTCTTCCCGCTATTCCTTAGTCCTTTCCATATCATCGACGGAAACCAACCTAGCCTGGCCTCTCTAAACAACATTTGTCTTAAGCTTTCTCGCGGGCGTATTTCTTTCATCATTCCATTTATTTCCTATCTCAGTGTCTATTTAATGATTCTCTGTTGACTTTTCTTCGATGCTTTGGTTGTCTTATAACTGTTGATGCAAGCGATTTTACAATGTCTCTTATTTATTCGCCTTTGTTGAATCTATCCCATTTCAAATGCATCACTTTGAATTTGTTTTTTAAATGATTTTTATATGGAATAGCCAAATCGAATATAAATTATGTATATCAAGGTAGCGGAAAGAATAAAAACCTACCAAAAGGAGGCCCCCTGTTAAAATTACTCAAGCGCTGAGTTGTGTTTTGGTATAAACTCAATTTGATACTCCGACAAAAACATACACTGACACGCGTTAACTGTGGAATTATTGATGTCACGGATGACTTTGCACATTGCTAACAGATCGTAAAGTTGGAACAAATATGCTTCGCCCGACCAGTTTAGCTGTTTTCGAACGATACTCAATAGTTGAGTACTCGATTACATTTCCTGAAACGATACCAAGACATGGTTAAAAAAGAACAATTCAATGAGATGATTCCAATCAAGAATCCACCCATATAGATCGCCTTGTTCTTGAAAACATGCAAATGTCAGACAAAAAAAAAGTACTTTATTGGTAAATCACACTGGCAGAAGTAAAACAGAAGCATATAATGAAATTGCCACGAATTAACTCTTGGCTCTCACGCGGGAGACCAACAGGACAGCAAATTTGTTTTTGTCTGTCAGAGACCCTTCCCCCCCCCCCCCCAAAAAAAAAAAAAATACTTAACCTGCACAGTTCGTAGCCATTGAGTTAATTCACTTCATTAAATCCTGAGGATTGCAGTCACCCTTTCCCCCACCCCTATTCTATACCGATATAACGCAGTAAAGACATAATGTAATATGGATCCAGCCTCCGTATAACTTATACTATAACAGTAACGTAATCAGAAAATCAATATTACAATCTGGCATATGGATTAAACCCTTGAAAACTGCCCAAGGAAAGATAAAAAAAAAAAAAAAAAAGAACGAACGTAAAGTATATCAGCGAGCTTTACAATATAACAGACACATACAAAACGTAAACGTTGTGGCTATAGAACCTTCTTCAGCACACACAGAAATCAAACAACGCTGCATGAATACACATAATCACTTATCGTATCTCACGTACCCAGATGCAGCGACCTGGGTGTCTTGCCAGTGCAATGAAAAGAACACGCTGAATCGGAGAATAAATACCCGTGAAATACCAAGGGCCGTAACGAGAGTTTTTTTTAAATGAAACTGTGATGACAGCTTAGTCGCCTGTGTGTTAAAGTCCCCAAAGTGTAAGTAAAGCGATTTTCAAGAGACATGCTGTCATCTCCATGTCGCGGACACCTTGGTGATCCTGTGAATTAAAGTGCAACGGTACTGGTTTCAGGGTATCGTTCTGCACATACAGAAGATGCCTGAACCTGTGAGCCAGTCATAGACCTGTTTCACCGATGTATTTCATGCCACATCTCTTGCAGTTGATGGCTGATGGCGTAAATGACGTTGCGGTTCGTGCAATAGAATGCTTCACGTATGTGGAAGGTGGCATTCGGAAATCCAAACTGATCCCCTGGACCACATATGGACAAGTCACGCATACAGGTCTGTGGCAAGAGACCGTGCTGAAGTGAGATTCTGGCGCAGGACATAAGCGACTCTTGACTAGAATGTTCTTGAGGTTTTGGTCATGTCTGTAGGCCTCTAGAGGAAGTTCAGAGAAAATCGTGCTGGTGGCAGAGTCAACATTGGATGCCCCAATGTGCTGATGAGTTTAAACGGCCCTGTCCAACTATATAGTGTATAAAGAAGGTTTGGGGCATAAACATTATTACAAGGATAATAATCCTTGGTATAAAAGATCAGATTCTGGTACAGTCCGGTAAAATTGAGGACGAATGGTATTTATTTACCTCGGAGGATGATAGGAGGATTCCGAGAGCAGTACGCCCATATCGCTCATAAGAATGCAAAAACTGGAAGTAAAGATCTACACAGCCAGACACCAGAGGAACATCAGACAAGCGACTGGTATTATAAGCCTAGGGATGCTAATTTATTTGTTGATGGGGAAATCTAAACACCAGTGTGCGTTACAGGCGCCGGGGCATTTGGGCTCAGACCCCTTGAGCCCCCTCCCCACAATTTTTGGGGGATGGGAAGGGGGGGGGGGGGAGAAGGGCTGGAGAAGACTGAAAATTATATTCTTTTTCTTCGCCTTCACCGGCTGTGAACTCTGGCAAAAAGTTCTAGTTGTTCGACCACTTCTGGACTGTAGCCATGTTCCAAAACCCGAGTGTTCGTGCGCATCAGTTTTACATATCTGACTTATTCGTATGCAGACTGTTGGTTCATTGCCTCTCAAGCAGATGCATCCCGACTTTAAAAGAAGCTCCCAATTAGTCGACACTTACCACATACTTTTCGGTTTTCCCTACAACAGGGTCCCGGAACACCCACGGGTCACTGACAATTTTAAAAGGGTTCAGAGGCTTAGGGCTCCTCCCCCACCCCCACAACCCTTCATGTCTTCTTTGTGTGCGCACGCCTCATTGTCAATGTCCATGCGAGGATTACAAATACAACTCATAATTCAATAACATGCTGTGAGTATTCGTAGAAACACATATCGTTTTACCGGTATCCGAATATGCCAGTCAAGCTGAGGTAGAGAGGTGTGTGATAGTCCCCGCAGTTTTAGATTTGTACCGCCTATTGCCTAATTCTAGCTATCCCCTATCCGCTTTACCTGCTTGCAAACGAACCTTCGCAACACCGCGAACATGGCCGACAGGGAGTCTGCACACATACAAGTCGGGATTCTCACAGGTAAAAACTTTTAATCGTCATCGGGGAGTGAATATGATAATTATTATTTCATTTGCTAACACATCTTGCTCGCTGCATTGTGCGATTTTAGACAAGACATTTTACGTTGATGAGAATGACTTGACTGTCGTCTGCACTCACTCTTCTCACTTATATTTATATGAATGATGTCGGTGTTGCTTAGTGGTTTGTGCATTGCTGGAGTCTTTAAGGGAAGCTAAAATTGGCCACACTAAAATTACGTCGTAAGAGGCGCCACCTAAGGAAGGTTTATCTTAAACAGGCTGTCCTCATTAAAACTGTTTTCACCTAAAAATAACTATTATTGCTGTAGACTCCCCATGTTTAGGTTTGAACAACATATCAACATCATAGCTCACAGGTAGTAAGTAACCCATAAGTGCTCCATTCTGCTTCTAACTCAAGTCGGATTCCGAAGTTTTCAGTGCAGTGCACGAGCTAAGTAGCACCAGCAAGGATCCTGAAATACTTTGGGTAGATTTTAAGTTCCAAATTTTGCCCAGGCAGTGCCGTTAGGCTACTCTTTTCAATTTATAACTGCCAAGGGATTTTTTTTTTAAAATGTGCGCAGCAATACACACCTAAGTAAATAAAATTAAAATAGTACAATTGATTGGCACCTTTCGGTCTTCTCAGACAATAGTGGGCTCTCCTTTAAATAACGGTCGCTAGCCGGAAGGCGACGGTCGCTTAGTTGGAGTTCACTCCCTTGGCTGCAGTGCAAATACAGAGTGGTAAAGAGGGAACGAAACAAATGATATAGTTACTTGTCATCCTAGGGTTAGGCTTAGGGTTATGATTTGGGGTAGGGTTAGGGGTAGAGTAGGGTGTGGGTTAGGGTTTGGGTTTGGGTTAGGGGTAGGGTAGGGTGTGGGGTAGGGTTAGGGGTAGGGTTAGGGTTTGGGGTAGGGTTAGGGTGACACATCACGGAAACGACGGAAGCTTATCGCTCATTACGACATACAGATCCGCAGGTTTCACATCTACGGTCACTAAGTCGTGCGTCGGAAGAATGCGGTCGCTAATGTGAGTCGCAGTGCGTAGTCTAGCTTTAGCAGGCATGTCGACCTCACTTTGTTTTTTGATTCATGACTTGTCCGCTCCGTATTTGCACAGCAGCCAAGGGAGTGAACTCCGACTAAGCGGCCGTCGCCTTCCAGCTAGCGACCGTTATTTAAAGGAGAGCCCAAATGTGTTATATTGTGCTATGATGAGGCATGGGATTCACAGCCCATGGCAAGTGCGAGTGTGACTAGCAAGACCCACCCGTGTTAAGAAAAGTCTTCTACAGTTGTAGCATGGGAGAAAAAGGTGCAGCTGGTGCCACTGACCAGATCTTGGATGTTTCCCTGACACCTTATGGTGGTATATTTTCCAAGGCAAACTGGCCATGAGTTTGAGTCTGACTCCACATGAGCATTAAAATCACCACATGTGTAGATGCCATCAAATTAAACAAATTACCTTCACTACATTCTGCAGTTCGTCATAAAAAGAATTCTTTGCCTCCTCCATTGACTTTAAAGTGGGTGCACATGCATTAACAAGGGTAATAAAACTGCTTGACGTAGACAGTCGTTGGGATAATATTCTGTCATTTCCTCTAGTTTGACTGTAAACTGATCCCATCATTGAATTCTTTTCTGCAAATCCCACTTCATACTTGCTGATTTCTTCCTGGCCTCTGCCTTTCCAGAAGAATATATAATTATTGTATCTAATAAATCCATCCTCTGATAGACGTGTTTTCTGGTGCTCAGCAATATCTATATGAAGATTATTGAGTTTGGCATTACTGATAGCCATTTTTCGTAATTAACTGTTTTCCACGTCAGTGGAAAATCCAGGATACATGGCCCTACGTTCAGTGAGGCAAGCCAAAGCTTGAAGTTATTTTTTGTTTTTTTAATTGCCTGGTGCATTGATTTTTACAGCCTGCTATTCGGATTTTGTTCTAGCTCCAAGCACCCATTGAAGCACACAGGCTATGTCAGATCACCGCCTTATTAACTAGGGGGCTGCCCAGCTTGAGGTGGGCGGTAGTTGATCAGTGACATTCGGAAATATCTCACACCATCAGAAGCAACCCGTAGCGCCTTTGTCTATGCCAGTTGACAAGGACTTATAACCCATAACTGTTGCCTCTCAATTTGTTTCCGAGACCAATTAGGGCCAGGGATTAAGTTCAACCTCTCCATAGCACAACACCTGAGTCGTATTGTATAGACCATATGTTGCCCATGCATCATCATGATCTCTCTCTCTCTGCCCACCTTGTTTACTCCAAAGGAAGGGTAACACCAGTACGTTTGGAACAAAGCAAGCTGCAGAAGAGCGATGCTCTGTCCGATTTTGGAGCTTTCCTCATAGACCAGCTGCCAGCCAATGCTAAGGGCCTAGTCTGCCCTACCATAACAAAATCAAAGTTATTATAGAGCCTAGTAAAAGACCCTTTTTATGCCAGAGGCTAATCAGGCATATGATGTTAGACTGACATTTTTATATACATTTGCTGGGTGACCTGGTCAGCATCACGCTGGCTGCCTTTACTTCCTAGAACATTACTTGGTACCCATTTTAGGCTGGGTCACCTTGGATGCCAAGGTCAGTTTTGAAAAAGAATTCTTTCTGGATACAAATTCACACCCAAGACCTTTATACTGATAGGGGAGCATATAACCATGCTACCGCAGCTCTCGGCTACACTCAGGGCTTTTTTCTAATAGTACATAATGCAGTACTGGCACCCTTTTTTTCAAGCATCAGTTTTTTATCTCTTCTGTATTAGACACTTTGTGTTGTGCATCTTTTTAAGATACATTGTGTTGAGTACTGGTACATTCTTCTCTAAGAAAAAAACACCCAGGCTACACTAATTGCTACCTTGATATACTCCGTAATCATAGTTGGGTAAGGAGATTTAATTAGAACACTACTGGAAATAATTGTGATTGCAAGTTATCTGTGGTTATCAGTTTACTGATTAGGTTTACAAAGACTGTCTGCCTTTTAATTCTTTCTGCATCAGGTAGATTTTGTGTAAGAGTAACATAGGGTTAAGTTAGTTACCAATCTTTTGGTTAGTTGCGTATCCTTTACACGACGTTGCAGAACCAACCCCAACAGCCCCTGGCTGTTGTGTTGTTTTTCTAGGCAAATTTACGTCTAGTAGTTTGCCATTGCTTTCTGGATAGTCAGCTTTTTTGATACCACCGTCAAAACCAATGCAAGGCGCATGGCCAGCAGCTGGGATCAAACCCGACATCCCGGCATTATGAAGCGTTCGCATCGACTTAGCCACAGAGCCGACTACCAGTCTTTACAGGATCTTAATAACTAATTCCAGCATTTGATGTCTGTCTGTGGTCTGACTAGGCAGTTTATGTTCAGTAGTTTGTCGTTGCTTTGTGAACGGTCAGTGCTCACACCGTTGTCAACATTTTATGGGCGGTCACAAAACTAGATTTATGATGATGCCAACCAACTGGCAAGCAATGCAGCAACGCATGTGGGAAGAAGCATGCACAGAACAGATATCGTCATCACGTTATTAACTGGACTAGTGGATAATGACGATTCTCTGATGATAACTTGATGGCATGACATGGGAGTAAAGCATGGTAAAGCACGTCTATGCCACCTTCGAGGCCGAGATAGGAGACATTAAAAAACCTCTCATTAGAACAATTAGTACCTTGGAGTGGCTGCTGCATCAGAAGACTGAGCATGCATAGGAGTGCCCAAAGGGCAGTGACGTTGATTGTGATAACATAATGTCACATAACGTATAATGGTGCAATGTTAACAATTTACAAAAAAAAATTGATCTTATAGTCGTATGTGACATCAGAATCATTATGGACCCTGTTGATAAACTTAGGTGGTCATGGGTCACCATCTCTCCTGATGGCCAGAATCATGAATCATGAAACGCTCTTGTCTCGCCTGAAGCATGTAACCAAGCCATTCAGGTATTTATCTCTATAAAATAGACATGGCTGATCGATGATTATACTAAACACATTATAAATCCACTGTTTTAATGATACTGTGTAAGTAAGATTATCTAAATATTCATAGTACAATTTCTGACTAAATCACAACCTTTGAATCACAACGTACAAAGATGAAAAGAATAGACACCTCAAAAACTGAGGTAATTAGAATTGGCAGGAAACAAAATATCATGAACGTTGATGCTAACGGTACTACAATCAAACTAGTACAAGAATTCAGATATTTAGGAAGCATAATTACAGAGCATGGCAGACTTGATAGAGAGATAGAAACCAGAGTACTGAAGTCAAATGCTGTCATCTGCCAGTTAGTCACACTGCTTAAACACCCAGATGTCTCTCTTCCAGCAAAACAGCAAATGATTAATAGCATATTCATCCCTACTTTATGTTATCAGTGCCAAACATGGACATTGAAAGGGCACTAGAGCAGAAAAATAACTATGTGAAATGTGTGGTCTCCACAAGGTCACTAACAACACAAGAAGAGACAGTCTTACGAATACCAGCATTAGAGAATGTCGGAATAAGACCATGTCTGGATTATATTGACAGACAAAGAATGAAATGGTTCCGCCATCTAGCGAGAATGCAGCCAGACCTAACTGCATATGAGTCTTTTTACAGCAGAACATCTGGAAGAATGGCGAGAGGAATACCAAGAAAGAAATGGATAAATGATGTAGCAGAAACCTGCAGAAAGATGAATAAATCCATCACCCAAGCCACCCGAGAAGCACAAGACAAATACAGAAAATCACAACACTGGGCTACAACCTGGTATCTGTGTGAGACGACAAAAGAAGAAGTGGAAGAAGAACCTACTCTGTGTGCCTTGAAGCATGAAAAGAGTCATTTGCATATATTGTAATTTGTAAACTTAAAAAAAAAAAACTAGGCAAAAACCCATTTGAGGTAATTAACGTCACATTTGAAGCACCACATTTTATTTTCAGTAAGTGATTCATGCTTCAATGGAACAGCCATAGATCGCAGCGGAGAGAGCCTCAAACAGTTGGTGGAGTCGGGAAAGTTGTGAGTTTATAAATTATTTGTTGCTTTTATCCCAATGAATATTTCTCATTATTTACTTGTGAATGTTTGTATATTGATATCTCTGAAATGGTAATTTCTTTTCTTCTTCTGCAATTACGCTTAGAAGGGTGGTTGGTGCACTGTGTTATGGTTTACAGCTAGGCTGCAATATCTATCTATGCCTTTCGGGCCCATAATGTCTGATTTCAGAAAATCCTCACAGCATGCATGTTAGGGAGTTGTGGGTCTGTTCCTTATCTTATAGTGGGGCTAGTAATCCGCACATGGAGACGGTACCATCCCACTGTGGAGTTCCCGAAAATGAAAGAGCTGATAAACCGGCAACTGAAGAACAACCTGACGTAACAAGTCTCTTATCAACAGAAGAAGAGAATAATCAAATCAGTCAGAAAGCCACCAAAACTGGCTAAAGACAATTACCATATAAGTGATAGATCAGAGCAAGTCGTTATTCTGCACCTTAGAGCAGGACACACTCGACTTCGCAGCCACATGTACACAGAATTTAAGTTTGGCGAATTAGCCATGTGTACATATGGATCAGCACCTGAGACAACAGATCACCTCCTCCAAGACTGTCCCAAACACAACATATTAAGGCAAGCTTTTGGCAAAGAGAAACACCGGCGCAAGCCAAACTTTACGGGTCGCTGAATGAATTACAACAGACAGTGTAGTTCACACTAGAGAAATAATAGAGACAACATTACAGATATTACTAATCTGTTTCAAGTGAATGAAAGAAGAAAATGAAGAAGCAACAATTACTGAAGGAGTTCAACGGAGACATTATGAGACAGTAGTTAAAACTAATGATGCAGGTTTAAAAAAAAAGTTAGTTGTATATCCTTTACAGTATTTTGCATGACCAACCCCAGCATTTTTGGGCTGTTGTAGTTTTTCTAGGCAGATTTACTTTCAATAATTTGCCATTGCTTTATGAATAATTGGCTGTCAAAACCGTTTTTGAAACAAATGCGATAGCTGGCAGTTGAATACAGTGGCGTCAATATTGTGCATGGATCTCTCATGTGATAGAAGACAGCAAAAGTATAACTTTATCTTTAGAATTACCATGAAAATATGTTGGGTTGTTTGGTACTGTAAGCTTTAAATAAGAATATAAAATTATCTTGGTCAAATGAGGAAACAAATTAATTATCTTTAACTGTCCTTACTGCCTCTGTTAACTAGAAAAAGACAGGAAACTACATCTATCTCCTCTCTGGGATATTTTACGGCATAAGTAGTAGGACAAAAGAGGAAGAAGACTGCCTCTTTTCACCACGCAGTGTAGGGCAACGGGTTTTGACCCTTAGGATTTAGAGCTGCATGGCTAGTGTAGTCGCCACAAACTGTGCGGGTTATGATTTTATTTTGGCACCAGACAGAAAAAATCCATCACGCGACAATGACGCCTTCAGGAACTACCAGATCAGAAGAAGATGAAGACTCGCTATGATTAATACATTTATTTTATATAATTTCATTTTTGCGATCCGGCTTTGTAATTCTAAGGGGCCATGTTTGATTCCTGCTACGGGCGATTTGGCAGCAGACCACATTGTGCTGGTTGCTTTATTAATATTGATAACAATGGCAAACTACTGAATGTAAAATTGTCTAGTGAAATCACATAAGCCCAAAAGATGCTGGAGTTGGTCCTGCATCATCCTGTACAGGATATACAACTAACTTTATGTGGTACATATCATGAAACTGCCTGTGTCTCACCGGGCGCAAGATTTTCCACAGGCTGTTCTATGCTCTAGGGGTGTCATGTTTGGTTATTTTGAATGCTGTAAGCATTCTTCTTCTTCTTCTTTGCGTTCACCAGCTATAAACTCTAGTGGAAAATTTTGGTTGTTCGTCCACTTCTGGACTGCAGTCCTGTTCCAAAACCTGGGTTTTGCGTGTGCATCGGTTTGACAGTTCTGAAACATTTGTGTGCAGACTGTTGGTTCCTTGCCTCTAAGGCAGATGCACTCCGACTTCGAAGGAAGCTCCCAATCAGTCGACTCTTACAACATGCTTTTGGGTAGGAAGTGGGTCTATTCTTGTTTTCCCGATAATAGGGCCCCGGAACCCACACGGGTTTTTAAGCATTCTGTATTCTGCATTATAAGCAGCTGGCACGTCCTGTACAGATAGTACAGCCTGTGGACTTGGCCACGGCGCGAATGGGAGTTGACACAAAATCTCATGCTCGGCGAGATGAGGGCAGTTTCGTGATGTGTACCCTTTATGTCATAATGTTTGAAATAAATCATAATATTGTGATTTGTTCAGAATTAGCATCATTTACATTCCAATATATTCACAGTATCAGCGCTACAGTTGTAACCAAGGATATTCTACCTGATGAATATGACCAAATTAAGGTTTGTATTGTGTATATTTAATCTTCTATCTATGTTTTGTTTTATTGTTTTTTACCTTTCTGAATAATAAATGGTTAATCCTGTTTAAGACACAGTTACATTCCCAGCATTTTAGACAGTAATGTACGAAAAAACAAAAACAAAAGTTAAGTGATGTACTGGAAGGTTGGAAACAGATGTTCCTGCAGTTACACTACCAGTTAGCAGAGCAGATAAAATAGCATTTGTACAGACTACTTAAAGTGTTAAGATCATCTAAGAAGTACAGTTAATTTAGTATGTTTAGATTAAATAATGTTCACGTAATGCATGTTGTTAAGATCATATAAAAAATAAACAACGCAAGTTATAAAAAAAAAAAATAAGGGGTACAGACAACTGAACATGTTTAGATCCGGTAAGGAGTAGACAACACAAAATGTTCAGATCAATTAAGGAGTAGACAGCTGATAGTGTTTAATGTAATTGGTACAAACAATTCAGGATGCAGAGGTACTGTATCGCACTTGATGGTTCACCAAAACCCTGGCTCATAACAAACAACACAGGATTCAGAGGTACTGTATCGCACTTGATGGTGCACCAAGACTCTAGCTCATACTAGTCAAGATCTATCTGCACCTCTCCACAGCTGTCCTAGAAATAAGTTGCCAACCGGGGGGCCTGGCTTACTTAGATAGTATCAACATTTTCTTCAAAGTCATAGTGGATCTGCCTGAGAGGCGAGGAACTGAAAGTCTGTCCACAGGTAATTCAGATTTGTAAAAACTGATGTGCATGCAACACTGAAGTCGTGGAACAAGACCAAAGTCCAGAAGTATGTGAACAGCCAGGACTTTGGACTGAAATTTACAGCTGGTGAATATGTGAAGGAAGAAGTACAAACAGTTCTTAATGTTTACATCATACTCTGGGCGGCCACCTGGCGACAAACTCCTTGTGGTCCGGGTTCACGCCTGGGGGTAGGTAGAAAAGCCACATTTCTCCCATATTTACGATACCTATTATGGAACCAAGGCCAAAGGGTTGCAATACCCATAGTATCGAGTCAAAGGGTTTACAACTCATGGTTTCTGGATACTTTAAAAAAAATACAGTTAATACAAACAAATCAAAAGTGTGTACACAAACAAGAAGTAATGACAAGCTTATGGTCTGTTACCCGGTACTTAAAACGGGCAAAGTAAATGGGCAAGGAGATAGTTTCTGTCATTTTGTTGTATTCTGTTTGCAGGCCAAACTTCTTCATTGGAGTGATAACCTGAAGCTGGACCTTATATTGACTACTGGTGGAACCGGTTTCTCCCTCCGGGATGTGACACCAGAGGTGAGTACAAAGTCAAGCACCCTTATCCATACCATGAGGCGAAGTGGACATATAGTGCTAGATTTATATTTTTTAAGCCATTCGGAACCTGCTGGGTGATGTGCTCAGCATCACGCCACCACCTTTACTTCCCAGGACTTTAGCTGGTACCCATTTTAGGCTAGGTTTAGTAGGGAGCAAAGATAATTTTGGAAAAAATGGTGCGTATTCACATGTTAATTCTGTAATAATGTGTGTTGTATAGTGTAATTAATTACAGCAGTCACTGTAGCCTGTTTTGTCCAGGGATGTCTGTTTTCAAGATAGTAGAGAGCAGCTGTTAGTTTTTGGTGGCTGTGATTGTTCATTTCAGATTGTTCTGTTTCTTTATCATAGATGCAGATTGTTAAGTTCCTTTATCATAGATTGCTATTTTGTGCACATTTCCAGTGGAGGATGCTTTGCATTTTGTTGTGGTTGGAGTAGTCAGTATTGGGATGTACGATGTCAGAGTGGGATGGTGATGGATGTGGATCATGGCATCAGTTGGCACGCCATGCTGGCGATGTTTTTGATTGCAGTGGTCCACTCTGTCCAGGAAGACAAATCTCATCAGCAGGCACCTGCAGCTGTCTAGAGAGCAAACCTGAAAAAAAAAAAAAAAACTGTCCTCAGAAGTGGTATGTCAACCATTTATGGTCGGGATGAATCGACACAAACAGGCAACTCAATAGCCATTTGCAAATACCTCTCCAAGTATGACACCACCACATTGGGTAATAAACAGCCAGGTGAAAGTATGACTGGGTTTCTCATCATGAACAGGTCTCTGCTTAGCTTCTGCCCAGTAGACCTGGCAACCAAGCTTTAGGAGAACCAGAGAACTCGAGCTGACTTCCCAATTTATAGCCCACAGTGGATGAAGTGCATGACCAGAGATTACTAAAGAAGAAGTTTTGTTCAGAATTTTAGTAGTTTACTTCCTGTACCCCATTTTATATTTGGTTGACCAGGAAATTCTGGTCAATGAAGTAATCATGCGATAAGAGTTTAAGTCACATGACTGCAAGACTGACGGGCAACTGTAATTGCTTATAAAATGGCGTAATACTTGAAGAAATGCATGTTAAAGGAAATGGTGCTTGGGAAACATTGAACTGGGAAACTTCTTCTTTTGTCAAAATCTGCTTGTGCCGCTAGGCGTCGCAGTCTATCAGATGATCGGCAACCCTAATCTCATATATTGTTTCTAGAGCAGATTTTTGTGAACTCTTAAATCCACTGCCGATTTGCTGGACCTGACACAGATTTATCCTTAAGAGAACACTGGAACTGAGAAACACTGGTTTAAAAAAGACAAGAAAGGAAAATAGAAATTGGACTGTGTCTTCATGACATGTGAGGAAAACTCTGGAGATGTTTAAGAAAGAAATAAAGATTATAAGACTCTTTCTGTCAGTGCAGTCTAGAACATGTGAACTTTTGGCAGAGATGATTGCAGTGATAAGCTTGACTCTATATCCCTGTCCAGGTTGGTGGACCTGGGGTACAACCTTGAACTGTCAGGCATGAACATTTCACTAAGGTCACAAGACATTTGATTAAGCATAAGCAGTACAGGATGGGTATGATCAATTGTATTACATCTGTGGAGCTGTTGAGGAGGAGATCGGAGCACCTGTGGATCTGTCTGAAGTGCTGTGATGACAGTCTTCACTAATCAGTTATAAATTCTCAACAACAAAAAAGAGAAAATAACCAAATCAATCAGAAAGCCACCAAAACCGGCACAAGAAGATTACCATTTTATGGACAGACCAGAGCAAGTGATTATTCTACGCTTTAGAACAGGACACAGTCAACTTCGCAGCCACATGTACACACAATTTAAAATCGGCGATTCAACTATGTGCACATGTTGATTGGCACCTGAGACAACAGATCATGTCCTCCAAGACTGTCCCAAATACAACACATCAAGGCAAAACTTTTGGCCAAGAGAAACGTCGGTGCAAGTCAAACTTTACGGGTCGCTGAGTGAATTACAAAAGACAGTGAAGTTTATACTAGAGATAACATTGCAGATATAGTTAATGTATTTCAAGGGAACGAAAGAAGAAGAAGTTATAGTTTTATCTCGTATGCTATTTCAGTCATCTTAAGGGCTCCCAGATAATTGAAACTCGTTTATAGCTCTTTCAAAGTGAAGAGGAGTGAGTTGCTGGTTAAATGATTAGAACACTGTGCTTACATGTAGTAGACATAGGTTCTCTTTTTTGTTTTTTAAAGCGGTCACCATCTGTAAACTGCGGCAGAAAGTTCTGGCTGTGTCATCCACTTCTGGACTTTTGTCATGTTCCAGAACTTGAGTTTTGCACAAATGTCTGTTTTACAGATTTAGCTATTGTAAGCAGGTTGTTGGTTCCCTTATTATTTTACCTTTATGGCACGCTTGTTGAGGGCAATGCGTCTATTCTTTGTTCTGCAAAATGGAGCCCCAGAACTCACCTGGGGAGTCCTGTTGTTGTTGCCTGAAGCAAAAAAAAACACACCAAAAAAAACAACATAACCTGCAGTTTTTGTGTGTGAATGCACTAACTAAGCATCTTATATTCTTCATGCTGAAGCCCCTCTTACCTTCATCACACTATAAATTGGTCATCATCCTGTAGCAGGTCTTTTGCAGATGTCGCTCTCATCTGCTTGAAAAAACTCGGTCTGTCGCCAGCTCTCCCACCTCATGTACTTTCATACTCAAGGAGTCACTTATATCCTGTGCTCATCTTTGTGTTGGTTGGCCTCTGCCCCTCCTTCCTGGTACAATGCCTTCTGCTATTATTTTTTCCAATCCGCCGTCTTGATATGACAAAAATATTTCAGCTTCCGAGACAGGATGCTGTTTATTGGCCAATCTTCCATGATGTTCAGATCTTTCTGGATGTCAGTATTTCTCCTCTTCTTTGTCCAAGATATTCTGAGAATCTTTCTATAGCATTTCAGCTCAAAAGCCCCTATTCTCTTTCTTAGGGACTAGGAGATAGTCCACGACTCACATTCGTATGTTGCTACAGGGAAGATGCAGGCTTTCAAAATTCTAATTTTGATCTCTTTACTGGTGCTTAACCATAGAATTTTAAAGCTGTTTAATCTTTGCATTGCTATGGCCATCCTCCATTTAATTTCTGTCAAACAGTCTCCATTCTATTTATTATAGAGCCTAGATATTCAAAGTTTGTGACATTTTCAGTTTCTTCATCATTTATTGTTATTTTTGGGTGACATCCAGTTTTATCTGTGGACATTATTTTAGTTTTCTTTAAATTCAAGAACAGATTTTGATCTTCACTGTGCTTTTGGACAGACAATATACAATTTTCCTTCCCTTTATGCTGTTCAAAAGGAGGACTGTGTCATCTGCGTAGCGAAGTTCCGTAATAGGGTTGCACGATTTTGAGCGGATTATGTCACTAGTTTGATTATTTTTGACCTTTTTCATTATATTTTCTGCATATATGTTGAATAGGTATGGTGAGAGAATACACCCCTGCCTCACTCCCTTTTGCACCTCACACCAATCCGATGTTTGACTGGCTGCTCTGATGGCTGTTTGTTGTTCATTATAAACATTTTCAATTAAATGTACCAAATGTACGCTATAAAGTGGTACAGAGAGTTTTTTTTTTTTTTACTGAAAGCTTTTATTATAAAAAGCTTTTATCGGAGGCTTTTATTTCGTTCTCTTCTTCTTCTTCTATCCTTCTGTCAGAGAACTTATATCAGGCTTACAAGCAGTCCATATCCTCTCATGTACCATACAGTTTTGTCTTTATTGTGGTTGGAACAGGCCAAATTGCGTCTCTGTTGTCAGCATATTGTTCACAGTGTTGGAGCACATGCTCAGAATATTTGGGTATCAGTCTGCAGGGACACATCTCCGTGTTTCCTTCACCGAAAAGTTTGAACATATGTTGACGCTTTTATTAGTGGTATGAAATTGTAGACTGTTGGTAAAGATAATTAGCTGAACTCATGTATCATTTAAATTATATGACAAGATATACTTACAATATAAATTTGATAAAACAAGTCATTGTTAATATATTACGTCCAGTATACCATATGATAAATTATTTTATATCTTTTTAGTGCATTGGTGGGTATGCAAGATTAGATATAAATAAAAGCTTATAGGATAAAAAGTTGTTTAAATGTTTGTTTTATTTATTTTTTAAGTGATACTTTTAATGTTATAATGGCCATAACTGAGCTGTTTCAAGTTTCAAGTTGTTTGGTTCTTCAGGCAACAAAAGCTGTGCTAGAAAGAGAAGCTCTAGGAATGACTGTAGCCATGCTGAAAGGATCATTGGAGATTACTCCTCTAGCTATGCTTACCAGGTTTGTTGTCTTGTTCTTTTACCCATCATGCAGGCAGTTTGTGGAGCTGTGGAAACACTGGGGATTTTGCTTGCTTATAAACAATGGTGGGAAAAACAAAAATAGACCAATGAACTAAATACAGTGGTAGGCACAAAACTGATAATTGATTTAACAGAATATACAAATATCAGATGGTTTGGTCCTCTGGTCAGAATGGAACAAAGTAAGCCAGCAGCTAGAACTTACTTTGTGAAAACAGCATGCTGCAAGGCAAGAGGCTGACCAAGAAAGAGATGGGTGGAGGGAGTAAGAGACACTACAGAAATGCAGTATGAAACATTAACACAAACAACACAATTAGCAAAAAAGATAGGAAGCTACATCTAACTCCTCTGTGTGTTGCTTTACATCATGAACAGTAGGGCAGAAGAAGAAGATAACTGGTGAGTCTCTTTAGGCATTAGGTTTGGGTCTGTTGACAACGAAATGCCTGAAACCTGAAAACATAACCAGCTAATCCCGGCTGGTCTGTATATGCTATGCTGAATGATGACTTGGTTACCCCCAAACATGCATTTCTATATGATAACACCCAAATAGGGCTTTCTGTAGATAGGAAGTTCTAATACAAGTCTTGCACACTGAATTTATTTATGCAGTTGGAGAAGAGAGAGAGTTCTGCAACACACTCTTCATGCAGGTTGTACTTTAGTGCCAGGTTGACAGAAAAGTCTCTATACCAGTCTTACCTCAGCTGAAGATACAGACTACCTGAACATCAGAAGGTCTTTGTTGTTGTTATCGATCCAGCGGCGCATGAGCTTTCGCCCTTTGGCCCAATGCCATGTAGTGGAATTTGACAAGCTGTTCTTGTCCCCCTTACAAGGTGTTCCACTTGTCTGGTCTCGGAGGGAGTAGCGTTCTTCTTGTCTCACTGAGTTTTGGGCACTCAAAGAGATGGTGTTCAACAGTTTCGTAGGGGTAGTTACATAGCTGGCACTCTGGGGAGTGTTGTGGCTGTATTCTGTTTAGATGTCCATTGAGTGGAGTATGTTGCGTTCTAAGTCTGAAGATGGTGGCCTGGCCCTTCTTGTTAGATGGTTAATGTTAGGTCTTTAAGAGTTACAGCTGATTGTCTTTAAAAGGATTTAACCTATCCATCAAAGAACCAACTGCCAACCAACCATGAACCTGGCAGTTTTGAGTTTAATCATCATTCTACGACTTCTCAAACTACTGGATGTAACTTGCTTAGAGAAACCACACAACAGCCAGGGGCTGTTAGGGTTGGTTCTGCAACGTCCTGTAAAGGATACGCAACTAACTACGACTTCTGCTGCCTTTTTGTCTCCAAGCAGGCATAGTTCAGATCCCTAACCAGCTTAGTGCATGCTATTTTTAGACTTGTTTGTGAATGGTGACATTCCAAAACTGTTTTTAAACAGGATAAAGCTTTCACCTCTTATGACACGTTTGGTCAGTTTTTGTGTTACCACTATTCTTTGCTTCCCTTATTAGCACTGGATACAGTGTTAGTGCCAGTCTTCATTAGTGGCAGAATTTAATTTTGTCGTTTTCTCCTCCCTTTCCTCCTCCTCCTCCATCTCCATCATTCGTCCTTAAAAGGATGTGCATGTTTTGTTCTGGTTTACAACTTAAAAAGTTAGTTGCGTATCCTTTACAGGACGTTGCAGAACCAACCCTAACAGTCCCTGGCTGTTGTGTGGTTTCTCTAGGCAATTTACATCCAGTAGTTTGCCATTGCTTTCTGGACGGTCGGCTATCTTGATACCACTTTCGAAACCAACGCAAGGCGCATTGCCTGCAGCTGGGATCGAACCTGGCATCCCGGCATTACGAAGCGAAGCGTTCGCATCGACTTAGCCACAGAGCCGACGGTTTACAACTAGGCTGTGATATCTGCACCTTTCGACCAAACAGTCAAATTTTAGCAAAACCATGATGAGTCGCCTTTCATGACATGCTTGTTTAGAAGGCAATGGGTGTATCCCCCCCCCCTCCCCCCTCACCAAATAGGGCTCAAGAACCGACACACATATTTTCTTGATTGGTATGTCACTGTTGTCACTCAGCCTAGTAAAATATGATAGTTATCTTAATTTTTAGTTTAAACTGTTACTATGAATGTTCCTCTAAATATCTTTAATTTAAAAAATAAATTTGACATTTCATATTGCCTGTGATAAATCTGGCATGAACTTGTGATTTTATACAATAAAACAGACTGACTTGTGGAACAAGGGGAAGAACTCTGATTATCAACTTGCCAGGAAGCACGAAAGGATCTGCGGTAAAAAAAAAGTCTTTTAGCTTGCATTGATTCTTTCATAAGAATTTTATGTTGTCTTGATTGTTTCAGTTAGCAATAGGAAGAATATGAGTTAGTGTAGAACTGGGCTGTTCAATTAATTTAACTCAAGAGCTAAAATTTTGAAAATGGGGATCATCACGGGCCAAAAACCAGAGTCTATAGACAGCTTATTATTACAGGCCACTTGTTAGGTCTTAGTGCGCCAGATCTGGCCCGCAGGCCACCATGTGAATAGCCCTGGCATAGAATATACACCCACTGGCATGCAGGGCCGAAGTTTGGTTCCTACTGATCTATAATTGGCCTTGGATGGAATGTTAAGATGTGTCTACAAATGTGTCTGCTCACACACAACAACAGAAAAAAAGTTAAAATAGATAGATAAATAAATAAATATTTCTATATCTTAGTAGTAGATGATTTAATATTGGCATTTAGAAGGATGCATCTAATGAAGGAGTGCAAAATCATAGAAGCTGCTTGAAACGCAAGAAGTAATAAAATTAAAAATGAAGAAATGAAAATTTGACTGGGACTGAAACCAGTCCTACAGTTAATTAAAGATCATCAGTTCAAAACATTTATCTGAAGTGATTAATAAGTTCATGGGGAAACAATAATTTTGTCTGTTAGTATATTATTTTTTTTAAATGGTATCTTGATTGTTATTTTGCTTAGATTTTATGCCTTCTTTTTTAGAATTTTATTTGTTTATGTTGACTATTGGTAGTATCCATTATAGACTACTATTGGTTCTTTTGTTTTAGTTCACCCATCTTGGGGACTAAGATTTATAGGGAATTCCTGGGAAAGTTGTTTATTATTAAGTGGTCTTTCCCTCTGGAATGTTCTTGATTCCCTCATTCGAACTTTTACATTGTTTGTGTGTATTTATTATACTTCTGCAAAGTGACTGTTTGTGGCAGTTTATACCAGGGTATTCTCATCAGATGGTCAGACCATTTCAACTGTTACTTTGCCATTATACTGCCTGTAATTTCTGTATTTACTAACTATTTTTGCTGTGTAGGCTGGAAGTCTTTGAACCTGAGGATTGAGGACGACATGGCTAGCTTAGATGAATACAGGCTGTGCATGTAAGGATTGTATTATTGCCCCCAACTGAAAAACCTTAGCCTTACAGAGGATTCAAATTTGGGTTGCTTTTAACTTCAATTTTTTTTTTCTTTCAAAAATGAATTTTTCCCCCTCTTAGGAATGCTTTGAAATTGCTTCCAAGGGAATACCTCATGCAGTGGATTTGTTGCGAGGACACAAGCAAAGTGTGGAGAAAACGCATATCACCCTTCAGAGTGAAGGAATCAGATCAGCACATGGCAGCCATCATCATCAGGTATGACATTTATCTGTGTGCAGTTTTTTTTTGCCTGCCTGCATACCAAGTTTGAGAACTTGCTGAATGTGAGTGATGGTTGATACAATAATTCACATAATGCTTTGTAATGTTCTAATGGCTGATTTGTCCTGACCAGTAAATGGGATGTTTTATAGAAAACATCTTCGTCTTCTTCTGTCTCATCACTGCCAATTTATTTATTTTTTAAGCATAATTTCCTGTTAACAGCAGAGCTGAGATATTTGCACCCTTCAACCTTTCAACCTACACATCTGACTGCTTCAGACCGGTTTAGATTTCTCCTTTTAAAATATATGTTACTTCTTTGATAATGAATAACTGTGATTTGTTACATGGCATATATCCTAGGAGACTTTCTACCAGAGTTTACAACCAGTGAACCTAAAAAAGCAGCAGCAGTAGAAGAAGAGGACACTAGAGTTGGATAATCTAAGTTTGGCACTTGTTTTAATTTCCTTTGAGTTGCATAAATTTTTCAACAACTCAACATCTTTTCTTGCCTCTTGTATTTGTGTGTGTGTGTGTGTGTGTGTGTGTGTGTGTGTTTTTTTTTAAATAAAAAAAAATTGTGTAAAAATTCTTTTAGTTCTGGAATATTTAACTGCTGCCTAATTAGGAGTATGATGACTGCACATTTGGTTGGATTTCATCAAGAAAGATCGGATTATGGTTTGCCTGGTTTATTCTCAATCTCTTGTTTGTTTTTCTTGTAAATCTGGATGAATCACCTGTTGTGTGTTAACTCAAGGTAGTTTACAAGTATGTCATGTCAGAAGCCATTGTGGGTGAGAGGGCACATGCAAAGTTATCAGTTGACTGGCAGGGCTTAGTGCAAACTATCCAGGCTACATTAAGTTTATGAAGAAGGGGTTGCTTAGAATTCTCTGGAAACTGCGGACATCACGGGGGTTTCGTGGAAGGTATTTGGAATTCTCTGGAAACTGCGGACATCACGGGGGTTTCGTGGAAGGTATTTGGAATTCTCTTGAAACTGCGGACATCATGGGGGTTTTGTGGAAAGTATTTGGAATTCTCTGGAAACTGCGGACATCACAGGGATTTTGTGGAAAGTATTTGGAATTCTCTGGTAACTGTGGACATCATGGGGGTTTTGTGGAAGGAATTCTCCATGGGATGATTATGGAAAACTTTATTATTTTTGTTGGTCAGTTGCATGTTACTCACATAAATACCTTTTGTGGAGGATATGTGCATGAGTTGTTCTAGTCAACTGGAGCGCATGGTCGTGTGTTAGTGTTTTAGTTTGTTGAAGTACATGAACTCTTCAGCTGAACTGATGTATTCTAATTCTGAATGTCGACAGTAAGGGCAGATATGGGAAGTCTAGATACTTGATTTGACCACAACGTGACTGGGCTTGTTATATTTCACTGAATGTTGATCAGGAGACTTGTCCACATAGATAACTTCTTCTGTGTTTACCCGTAAGAAAGTGGTAGGCATTTTGTGTTATGGTTTACAGCTAGACTGTGATATCTGGGACTTTCATTCCAAGAAATCTGATTTGAGCAAACCGTGGTTTAGTTATTTTATGCACCCTGCTTTATTCAGTGGGCCGATTCTTTTCTCTCTTCCTAAATGGGATTGTTATAGTAGTTATTTTGTGTTGCTTCTCTGAAGGCAGGCTGGCTTACACAGTGATGTTAGAAATTATAGGCTGTAGGCGACCCCAGCGGTGGGCACAAAGCTGAATGCAGGTTATGTTATGAACTTGCCTCAGGTCAAGGTTAGGCGCTGCATTTTGAAACGGTGCCACCTTTTGAGACTGCCAAGACTTGGCAGAAATTAGCAGACATACAATGTTCATTTATTGATCGTCAGTTCATCTTCACAATGTAGGCATCCATTAATAAACCGGGACTGATTGAACTAGTTACAGCAAACTTTAAGGGGTATGTTATACTTTTGTTAGGCGGTGGTTATGATGCAGCCTGTGCGGACCTGTGCTGTGTACTTGTTATACCTGTTACTTTCCCAATGTGGGTTTAGGGGTCCCATTATGGTAAAGACAAGAATAGACCCACTTCCCACCCAAAAAGCATGTCTTAAGAGTTAACTAAATGCTGACAGATGCTAAATCAGTACTTGAAGCACTCCAGTCTAGGAAACTACCAGAATTGCAAACACTTCTGACACAACTTAGCCTTCAGCGAAGAGTCGTAATGCAGTGGATACCGTCACATTGTGGAGTGCCTGGAAATGAGAAAGCTGATCAACTGGCAGGGGAAGGTGCGACAAAAGAGCAGCCTCATGTACCAGTCACATACCACCAAACAAAAAGAATAATTAAATTGATCAGGAAACCACCAGTCCAAGCACAAGACGACTATTTTATTATGGACAGATCAGAACGAGTCATTATCATCTGCCTCAGAACAGGGCACAACCGATTACATAACCACATGTACACAAAATTCAAGATAGGTGTATCAGCCATGTGCACCTGTGGAAAGGTGCCCCAGACAGCAGAGCATGTACTCCAGGACTGCAGAGAATTTGACACATTAAGGCAAACCTTTTGACCAGAAAGAACAACAGTGGAACGTAAACTCTGTGGACCACTAAATGAACTAACAATGACAGTGAAATTTATACAAGAGACAAAATTGCTGATATAGACAACTTATTTCTGGCGAACGAAAGAAGAAGAAAAAGAAGAGTTGACTAATTGGGTGTTTCCTTTGAAGTCAAAGTGCATCCGCCTAAGAGGCAAGGAACAAACAGTCTGCATACAAATTTGTTAGTTATATGAAAAGGATGTGCGCGTAACACTCAGGTTCTAGAATAGGACTAGAGTCTGAAAGTAGACGACAAGCAGAACTTTCTGCCAGAGTTTACAGTCAGTGCAAGCGAAGAAACTACCTGTTACATGGTTTAGTTATGGTGTTCCTGTTGTCATCGGTCTCTGCTCTCCCATGGGAACCCCTTAGCTCTCCTAATCATGTGGACTCTAATCTCGTGATTCAAGTGTGATCATACCCTAGATACTTTGCCATGTATGCTTTGTCTCTCTTTACATATCCGTATTAATCACCTTACTGTTATCTTGATAAGTCACCTTACAGTTATCCATCTGGATAAATCACTTTAAAGTTATCCATGTAGGCAAGTCACATTACATTGATTTTTCTGGGAAAAAATTACCTTTGTTTTTGTGGACAAGTACGGGCACTAAAATGGTAAATAAAGGGATGAAGGAGGCAAAGACACACACAAGAAACCCTAAAATGCTCATTGCTGAGAGAGGCCAAAGCTGCTGCACTGGATTCCATTCATGAAATTTAACTGATTGACAGGATAGAATGGAATGAAGGAATAAACTGTGAGCCCTATGTGACATACAATGGCACAACAGGACAATGCATGAATGTGGACAAGTCACCATTGTAGTGATATCATGTGGAACAAATTGCTTTATAGTTTATTAGTTATCTGTGTTTCCACTGTGGGGTCCAGGGCCCCTTTATGGATAAGAAGAAAGCTTGGGTCCACTGTCCCTGCAACGTGCATGTTTTAGAAAATGACTAATTAGAGGTTTTATGAAATCAGATCTGTTGGAATGAAAGGTCTATGTGTCACAGTCTAGCTGTAAACCACTATACAGTGAATAAAGTTCAACCCCACCAGGACCATACAACGAGCGACCAACACTGGTGACACAAAGTGCCACCATTTGGATGAGGATCACCCGGACACAAGTACCAGAAACTGTGTTTAACTGTTTGGTTATATCAGCGACCCTGACTACAGCCGAGTCTGGGGCTTTAAAATGAGGAAAACATAGCATCCCACATTGGGACAGAAATACAACTACACAGCATGGCAGCCACTGTTTGAAAGGTGCACATGGAGGAAGAAGCTATCTGTGTGGAAAGATCACCTTATATTGATCTGATATTGATCTGTCTAAATAAATTCTTAATGGTTGTCTATTTGAAGTCTTATGTTAAGCTTGTCTGTACGTTGATGCATCACACGGCTGTGAACCGGAATGCTGAAGAATTTGATTTGATTTCTTCTGCCAAAAGTTTTTCCATACAACCAGACAGCGTAATCATGAATGTGAAACTATGAAATAAATAGCCCAACAGAAATAAATATACTTGCTAGCCGAAAGGAGTCACATGATTGTGCTTGTGAAGTTGACTCATTAAACTGGTGATTTTGTGGAAACAGTCCAGGAGCACTTTCTCGGGGCATGCATAAACATCATTGTGCATGGTTCTGAGTGAAAATCTACAAATAACCGCATGTGAGTAAACTGTGGAGTTGTTTAAAGTCTGTATAGCTTTGTTATTTTGTGAGAAATTGTTTACTAACTGCTTTTTTTTCCCTTTCAAAATACCTTGAAGAAAAAACTATTGTGATTACGAAAATTCATTAACAGAGGGATTAAACAGTGTTACAGAATCACAAATTTGTAGCTTTGCTGTGAGAACAAAACAATTTCCAGTTAGCAAGTGGTAAGAAAAAAAAATTGTTACACCAAGAAAACCTGATAATAATAACATTAGAATGTCATTGTACTGGAAACAAAACAAGCCATAAGATTAACAAACAAACAAAATCTCAAGGAGAAGAAAATTATAGATTAACACGAATAAAATTGAGTAGGACATAAGATGAGCTGCATGTGGAGACAAAGAGTAGGGTGACTTGGTGTGAGCTGGTTGATGGTCTGTGTTGCATTGTGGGATAAAGAGCAGGCAAAGAAGATGAAGTACACTAAGCGTCACAGAAAAGTAGTCCCCTACATACAGTTATGATATGGAAGCTGTAGTTTGGTGGTTTTGTACAGTATTTGGATAAGCTGATAATGGAAGGTGTTGTCCCTAAAAAAAACCTGGGAAGGGCATTGCCAAAAAAAACACACGCCACAGTGGACTCAGGAGATCAGTTCTGTTATTATGTAGGACAAGCAGCCTCAGATTCAGACCTCAAATTTAGATACATTG